AAAGCGGAGGCAGGAGTTTGATACTTCAAGTGTTGATGTTGTGACCTCTGAGAGTCGGCCACAGTCTTAGTGGATGTAGCGCCTAAAAACACCCAGCAGACCCACATTACACAACCAATGAGAAATTTATGGTCACAAATTCAAAAGTAACTTTTTTTTTTTCTTTTTTTTTTTTCAATTGATACTTAGTGATGTAATATGTATAACATGGTGCAAGTCCTCCCAACCAAATAAATTACAAGGTGCAATTTTGGGCAGAATATCTTAGATCAATAAATTACTAACCACTTCGTGACGTCTGGGAATCCGTATGGGCCAAAGCCTTCTGTTCTTCACCAAGTCGATATTCATAATACTTGTAATCCGAGCAACTTTCATCAAATAAAAACCTACAAAATTATACATCATTTCATCACATATAAAACTGGCAGTTAGATACAAAAGGATATTCAGAGTCCCATTTAAGTTACTGCATTATCTAAAAGTGGTACTAACTACTAACTACACAAAGAACTCCTATTGCAGCACCTGAGATAAAGCTTTGAATCTTCAATGAGCCCAAAAGTAGCACATTTGAGTACCGAATATAACGATGTTAACAACAATAAATTCCCATGTTGTCAGAAATATAAAAAAGAAACTAGATGGTGACCTCATATAAAATAGTAGTGATCCCTACATGTGCACAGTACAGGATGTTTGAGGGAAAAAAATCAAAGGGGGTTCACCAGAGTACATATATTTCTTTTTTATACTCCCTCCTATTTTTTTTAAATGTCATTCTAGCTTTATCAACTATTTGCTAAATAAATGTCATTTTGGATTTTTTGTACATATTTTTCCATTATTACCCTCATTTAGCTAATAAATACATTACGTCTTTTCATATTCACACTTCACTTTTTCTCAAAACATTCATCTCTATCTTCATTAAATAAGGTTATTATTGACAAAAATAAATATTCTTAAATAATGTGCAACTTCTCAAAACGACATCTATTTAAAATAGGAGGTAGTATTTGAATACCTATGCTTGGATCCTTTAATTTAGCAACTGGTAATTTAAGAATAATGCTAGTTTACAGTAAGTTGTAAGTTCGAAAAACATCGTTATGTGACCATGACCGGCGTATCAACTCGCATTAGACTTTAGGGGAAGAGCTGATATGAATGTGTTTTCTGTTGATTAAAATTCATTTACTTGAAATGGATTCTTATAGTAATCCATTTTAGGCATACTTATAAAGATGAAGAAGATGCATCTCTCAAGAAACAGCACATATTAATAGAAAAAAACTACATGTTAAATATGTTGAAATTCAAAAATCACAAACTTCTCAGCAGAACGATACTGTCAACTGATTCCTAGTACAGTAACACGAAAACTAACGAATGGGGGACAAATAAAAAAATTCAGAAAGAAATCAAAGCTCTACCTAAACTAAAATTGTTTTGGACAAATCACATATACCATGATAATGTAAGAAAGAGTATGACAAATATATAATAGGCCAACAAAAATGAAGTCTACATACTTGAAGGGTGTATCTCCAGGGTTTTTCTGCCGTGTTACATGCTCGAACTGTCTCCCATTCTTGGCAACAAAGCTTGCTAATTTGTCTGCGACATTCTTCACAGTAGG